TATAAGTCTCTTCATTATTTTTCTTGACAATTTGTCTTAGTTGTGCCAAATTGGTAAAAGTTAATTGTTTGTGACCCAAGTCCTTGCTATATTTACCCATTTTAGCTTCAATTTACTATCTGTATATTCTCTAAACCCTTTTACATCTTTTCTCAGTGCTCTACATTTTGTCAAATTCTTGTATCAAGATTGTCTCTCTTCCTGAAAGTTTGGACATTTTGTGACAGAAAGAACTATTACTACTTTGGATGTTAGTTTTAGATTTAACCATTTCTAAAGAGAGTTTATAGTTTCATGGCCTCTTGGACACACCTTATAATTTCCTATTGATAATTATCAAATCATCAAATATGAAAGTTGTTAGCAGACATTGGTCTTGGTTCTTCCATACGTAATACAGTTCACAATAAGATGAGGAATTACACATATTAATTGTCATAATCTAATTGTTTAGCACTAATGTTGGTGTGGAATTGGAGAAGCATTAGCAAAGATATATAATATTAGTCAACTCACGTTTGTTTCATTATGCATGGTACAATTCTAGGATAAGCAATCTTGATTGAATTTATATTTATTTGTTCTCTTAGTGTACTACTACTATATTATACACACAAATTCGCAATTGTTCTCGTCAATGAAAAAGGTAGTTAGACTGCTTGAAACATTGAGCTCTGTTAGCTGTTTAGTTCCATCAAGAGAACTATAATTACACCATAAACCTTTACTACCAACGAATTTACTTACTTTCTTTTTGTGGGTTTTGGTTTTGTATTAGAGATGGGAAGTTATTTCAGCTTGGGTCAATGGCAAGAGCTTCAGCCATAGGCATTGATTTTTAGGCATATGTTGGGAATAATATCTCAACAACTGAAACATCCAAAAAGAACCCTGAGCAAGAACAACTAGCTGAAGAAGAAGAAGTATAAGATCTACACAAGAACAAGACTGGGGATGTGGAACGACTACCAAACAGAAATAAGGAAATCGACTGCAAATGGAAATTTACCAAGAATAATGGTGATATGAAAAAAGAAATTTTCTTATCTCAACTTGGAAGGTTTCAAGTAACTGGAAAGGAAACTTCATTGGAAAGAAGAAATCTCTTTACAGAGTGAAGCAATCACCACGGCAGTGGTATGATTAGTTTGATCATTTAAGACTCTTGGGATGGATAATCCTCAAGATAGAAGCGTAGTGCATCTCTCCTAGTAGAAGAAAACCCAGCAGAAGAAGAACATAATTAGAGTTAATTCAAACAGTGTTCGGACTTAATCCACTTAGAGCAAATGTAAGCACCTTCGGGTGCAGGGCAGTGCTGATTGCTCATTATTTAGTTTGGATAGAGAATTTGTTTGCCAAGGTGGAGAATTGTGGAGAATGTGATAACCCAACCCGTACTATGATTAATTATGTATGTGATTATGTGTTTGATATGAATTTACAAGTTTAAGTATGGAAAATATGTGAATTTGGAAAAATATCTATTGAAAGTAGGAATATCTGTTGCAATTGAAACTTTGAACTGAAATTGAGAACCATAAATGCGCGATAAACAAAAATCGACTTCATATCTATGTTTAACATGATTTTTAGAGCCTTTAGTAAGATTTTGAAAAATTATGATTCATAATGATTAAAATAATGTTTTGTGAGTTGGGTTTTATATGTGTATTTTACCTTTTGTTCTTCATTGTTACTTAAGAGCCCTAGAATGTGTGTTAGAGAGAGAAGAAGAGGAGAAAGCTAGGGATTTGAAGGAAATCAAGGGGCAAACCATAGATTTGAACTAAGGTCGTGTACTGGACGAAACGCCACAAGATCGATCCCACTGTAACCCGCAGCATGGAGCACAACCCTAGAGTCAGCTTCAGAAGACACCATTTTTGAGACGCAATCGAGTCATGTCTCCATAATGGAGTTTTGTCTTGACTCACTTCACCCTTTGACTTTACTTTCTTTTGTTAATGTGGTTTTGAGTTTGTAAGCGTTGTGCACAATTTCTTTTGATACTTATATTCTTTTTACATGGGTATGTAAATGACGTGGTTGTGTTACATTTTGCTCATATTAGTATAGCTTAATGGACTCGTTCTTTTGTGGTATACTTTCACTTTTTGCCCCATTACTATAATTACTCTGTATGTTTGTTTGAGGCCAAAGGTAACCAAGTGATTACCGGCTGGTTATGACCCAAACTTTTAGGGGCAGGTTCGGATCATGACAGAGAAGTTGGCTCAAACTTCTCTACAAAGAAAGGAGAAGAAAAGAGAAGAATGATTTCTCTTCTCCAACTTAAAGAAAGAATCAGAAACTTTTGAATGATCCACAATCAAGTAGCAAACTTGAATTTTGATTGAAGCTCTATGAAGGTCATCCATGGAATCCTCTAGAACAGGTCCGAAACTCGGTGAAATTTCCATCACCGCCTACGCATCTCACCCTCAATGAAAGCCTATAAATAGATAGGTAAGCTATTGTATTTTGATATGAAAACATTGAATTGAAAAAGAAAAGAGTGGTGAGGAAACACTTAGTGGATTTGTATCTCTCCAAAATATATAGAATTTTCGCTGACCAACGATGTAGGCTATTTCCGAACTGCGTAAACTCTGTGTTTTTCTTGTGTGTTTGTTTGCATTAATCTATGGCTCCCCCTGACCCAACACTTTTGTGCTCTTTAAAGTTGGTTTTAGAATGTACTTCTAAATGAGAGTAAATACATTTTTGATCATTGAAGAATTTCATTACCTAAAAAAGAAAGCTTTCAATCTTAGACTATTTTATGTGTTCCACTTCTGCCCCTCTTCATGCAACTAAGTATTGCCTTTTAACGCACTTCTCTTAACAAGATTTTTAGAAATGGTTTTAATCAATTATATGTTTTGTATAATTGTAATAATGATTGCATTGGCCACAAGGGTAGAGGTTTTGATCTCCCTTGTGGCATAATCTTTTCCCATGGTAAATTTTAACTGATTATGCGTGTCAATTCCATTGCTGTTTTCCACTTGCTACATGAAACTCTTGAATAAGATATGGTTTGACTTCTAACCCTAGTTTCTCCTTTTCTGGGTTGAATTAGAGTTTTGTTGTAATAGATCATCGAGTGCTCCATGGTTGATATAAAAAGTTAGGCCATTTCTACATGGCCTAATCTATGATGTTATAAAATTGATATACTAGTCTTACATTATATAATTGATGTATTTTCAGTATTATATCTCCAAGATGCTGTGCATATATTTCAGTACCAAAAACCAAGTTATGTTTCATTGCTAAAGGGATCAAGAAATCATTTGGTGTTGATAACATGTTTGTCACTACTCATAATGAACTTCTTGCCAAAAATCTGTAATAGTATTAGTGAGGCATATTTTGCCACCTATTCCAAGGAATATGCAATTCTCCACAGGAAAAAAAGAAGAAGAAGAAGAAAGAAGTAAAGAGAAGTTTTGCTTGTTTTGGTGTATCATCAAAACCTTTCATCAATTGGGTTATTTATTTATTTATTTATCTTTTCATGTTGCAAAATTATACAGGGATGTTCATTTTTTGTTACCCATTTCTAAACAAACTTGAGCTCTATTTTTAGGTTGAATGAAATATCTACGTAGAACAGAAACATTGTATGTTGTTCTATTAGTTACTGATGCTTGATATACTTTCTATAGGGAAGTTCCAGACTGAACTAGGCAAGGCTTAGCCATCTGAAATCGCATCAAGAAGAAAAACAGAACGTTAGATTCTAATTGAGAGTTGGAACTACACTTTTTGGTGACTTCTTGTTCCCTGCTCTTCTTTCCTTAAAGAGTCAATTCAATGCAAAATAGTTTTAATTAAAAGCTTTGATTTGTTACGCATTGTAATAAGTCACTGACTATATAATGCTTCTGTTGAGTTGTCAATTTTCTTGATTCTACATCTCTAACTTTATGTTGTTGACAATGTATATAAAGCAGGACATCTAAAAGGTGTAGTTTTTAGAACTTGATTTTCTTGCTTTCTAGCATCTGGTGTACTTGTGATATATGATGAATAATTTTCTCCCATATTTTCTCTCTATGTGTTCCCCAGTGTCCTCAAATTTAATGGCAGTAACTGGATCAGATAGTCAGTCAATTAAACTATTTCCGTTCTCTTTGCCATTAGAGAACCTGGTAATTTGTTTAGAGAATGACGTTTCAGTGATGACTTTAGTGTTGCCTTGTAGTCTTATTTAGAAAACAATGAAACCAAGGGACTGAAGTGACTTTGGGCCATATTAGGAGTATTTTAATGGTAAAATGTTCTGGATATTTGATGTATTCGTGGTAAGGTATTGCAATTTATTTCCTATAATGTTTTGATCTATATAAAGTTGGATTGTCTGATATTTTCAAGCTAATTAGTCCTTAGAATGCAATTATATTCATTCACCAGTTTTCCGGGAATAACCATTAAGAATTGTAATCCATTTGTGAGTTTTTCTGTTTTTGAAGAAAAAATTGTGAAACAAAAGCAATAGTGAAGTTGATCCAAATAGTTACATAACATGCGTTGGAAAGGTTAAGGTTTGGTCTCATGATGCATGAACTTGGTATTTTTTGGCAGTGATCAATTTATTGTGCATGATGTTGATTCATCAAACCAAGTTGTATATGATCATTATAGCATAACACTTTATTAATAGTACACACATTGTTCATTCACTAATTAAAATAAAATTATTATTTGGCTTTGTTTCCAAATCAATCTAATACCTCTACGAATTTACCTTTAATAGTAATCATGATGTTACTTTAATTACCTTGTGCAAAGCTTACATTTCAAACTGTTTTATCAGTAAGCTTATTTGAAGTTACTCAAAAGTGAATGAAGAATTTTTTGCACAAATCTTACTTATTTTGTAGCATGGACAATGTGAGAAACATCACTTAACCTTTATGCCATTATTGAAAAGTTCTCTATTCCTTTAACAATGGTAAAGAACTACCTTCCTGACATGACATTTGTGTTTGCTACTTTTTTCTTCCATCGTGTCTGTTACCACCCTTGTGTGACCTTTTCCATTTCTTTTGTTGTTCTCCTTCAGCGATTCTTAGAAACCATTTTGGTTTTCCAATTAAGAACATAATATATCCCATTACCAATCCCAATACCATTCCACATCCATACCCCATTTGTACCACTTTCCAACTAAATCCATGTGCAAAAGTTAGATCATCTTCCTTGGGCAACATGGGTGTTGGATGTAGTTGTGTCTTATTATCTTTACATTCCTTTGATAGAGGAAATCCACATAATGCCAAGTTCCCATTGTACGAGCTATTGTCAAATGTTTCAAATTGGTTGCCACGAGGTATGCGACCCTCAAGACGATTTTCTGAAAAATTTAAGACTCCAAGAAATGTCAAACTTGTCAATTGGCTAGGAATCTTACCAGAAAGTTGGTTTGAAGAGAGGTCCAACGATTCAAGCGAACAAAGATTTCCCAATGATGAAGGGATATTGCCAACAAGGTTGTTGTGAGATAAGTTAAGCAATCGAAGTGCAAGAAGCTTTCCGATGACATTTGGAATCTCTCCACTAAATTTGTTGTGTGATAAGTCAATGGTCGTGAAAATTGTTAGAATTCTTGGTAATTCAATCTGAAGACCCTTTATCATAATTGTCACTGAATCATTATAATAAGATTGCCCCATATATCTCAGTCCCACACTTTCATTGATGATCCTCATAGCTTTGAACTGCTTGAAATATGTTGGCAAAAAGCCACTAAACTCATTGTGAGAGAGATCCAATATTCGAAGTTTAGGAAAGGGTAGTTGAGTTTTGGAAGAGCCCATAGGACCGTGAAATTTATTGGATTGAAAGACAAGGACTTGCAACTCCGGAAGAGTTTCCAACCAGTAGGGGAATGTGTCATTTATACTGTTGTTCCCGAAGTCTAGAACTTCCAAGTGTCTACATCTTGCCAAGGATCGTGGCACTTTTCCTTCCAATTGATTCCCGTTTAAATCAATAGTCCTCAACTTGTTTCCCTCTGCAAATGAGGTCGGAATGCTGCCGTGAAAGTTATTCATTCTAAGATCCAACACACTGAGTACATTGCTGAAGTTTCCTAAACATTGTGGAATTACACCACTCAAGCTATTATGAGACAAATCAAGGATCTTAATGGAACTCACATTGCAAATCGCCGAAGGGATCTCTGCGAATTCATTATGTGAGATAAAAAAGTATGTCACCAAAAGTGGTGGGATCGGGCCACTTAGTTCATTGATGCTCAAATCTAACAATCGCAATGATGTATTTGGGAATTCTTGGAGTTGACCATTGAGTCGATTAGCACCAAGAAATAAGTACAACAATGATGAAATATTAAACAACCCAGATGGAATTGAACCTGTAATATTTGAAAAGTTTAAATAAATAAGTTGTGAATGAAATTGTTTCGTGATAAATCCAAATAAACAATCTGTGTAATGTTAGAATATATATATATATATATATATATTGGGAATTTGACCTTTCCTTGAAGCATTCAGAACAATCAACTATGTAAGGTTAGCTAAATCATTAGGACTCTATTTAGCATTTAAACTTGTTACAGGATAAGTCTTTATAAGTCATTAGGACTCTATTTAGATTTCATGTAAATTTTAATCAGTGAAGAATGCTAGTTAAAAATTGTAGGAGGTTATCGAACTTGTGAGATGATTGGAGCTCATCTTGACTCAAACATGATTCATCCATGTAGCAATTGATATCCGATTGTTTTGATTTTTTGAATGATTATTCTAATCAAAGAGTCGTGACCAATGAATGATTCAGATTATCAAAATCGGCTCCAAAATATACCCACCAAACCCATTCTCTCAAATTGAATGATCATCCAACTTGAGAGAGCAATTGGATTTGGTGAGCCAATTTTGGGGTCGACCTTGATGATTTGAACCGTTTACTTTATATAAACTATGAGAATCAACCAAACACGATAGCTTTCAAACTCCCAAAATTTTGACTCAAAATATTCATGAATTTGAGGGAAAATGTATGTATATATAAATATGTGTCGATGGACTGTGATTGTCTTAATATGTTTTAGCCATTTACATTTTGGATGGCCTAAATCATTTTGATTATTAATGGTCCTGTTTCGATAATCCCAATCGTTCATTTTTTATGGTCCTCACTATGTATATCATCATGAGAAAAACTAAGTTAATTTAATTTGATAATCATAATCTTTTATATTTATTACATTTGTCTCTTAAAAAACAGACAAATATTTTTTTAAATAGAACATTTAATTTTTTGGATAGAAATACAATAAAATGAAAATGATACGATTATATGATCGACCTAATTTATTCTCTCATGGATTATATACATGAAAAACTCTACAAAGCAAATATTTCGGTTCATTAAAACATAATCCATGATGGGACTAACGGGCCCTCAATCTATTTTCATGTGCGCCCAGTTAGTTGATTGACTTGCAATTTGAGATCTACAAGTTGAGAAAGCCAAAAGCCCAATACTCCTTGGAAGATTTCCAAAAGAAAGTCAAGTAAATTTAATGATTATTAAAGAACACTAATTAAAAATTGCAAGATCTAATCGAACCTGTGAGATAATTCGAGCTCAAGTCAAATGTGTGCAGATTTGGAAGTTGTCCTAATTTAGTTAAAATTCTTCCGTGAATGATGTTATATGCCAAGGCAATCCATGTTAAGTTTGAAGTATTGCCAAAGGAAGGTGGAATGGTACCTGTAAAGTTATTTATTTATTTATTTTATTGTAGAAGTGTTAAAAAAAAAAAAGGTACGGTTCTCAACTCTTTTGGTGAATTTTGATTTTGTTTACAAATAGAAAGAGTTTGTAAACAATACACACATTTTGATTGGTGTAAAATGATAGATCCTACCATTTTGGGTGGAGTTATTAGCCTTTTTGGGTTTAAAGTTCACACATTTGGGTCAATCATATTTTTTGTATTGTTCACACACAAAAGTGTGTGGACAAATTCATTTTCGTATGGCACCACTAAAATTATTAACTTTAACAGATATGACATAAAGCAACTGACACCGGTGCAAACCCACACTGATGAAAACAAATATAAATAAGGAGCTGGCACAGAAATAATAAATAAGAAGAAATATATAATTCAGTATGAAATAGATGACAATTTAACTTTTTAATCCATAGGATTAACGAATCATTAATGCAAATGAGGCAAGATGCGATGTGAACTAAAATTTTTAGAAAGTTCAGTATAATTATGTCAAAACTATGGGGGTTAATATATTTTTTTCAAACCTCAAAGAAAGTTAATGTAGTTTTTCACCTTTTTCTTCTAGTTGAAATAAGAAGAAATAATTTTGAAAATCAACTAAACACATAAATGACTTTCAAACTCCCAAGATTTTAATGAATTTGAGGGAAGTAAAAATAAAAATAAAAAATGATATACAAGTTTACTATCCACACCCACTAATAAGAGAGATGCTTGACCAATACTTAGAGAAGATATGAGTGAAAAGGTTGTCTTACATATTCTAATTGATTGTCACATAATTGGATTTGAAAATTAAGTCTAATTTTTTAATTTGAATAACAATGCTCAAAAAAAATATATGTAGGGTATCAAGACCTTAGTATGTTTTCAGCCATTTTTATTCATGCGTGGCTAGTTGACTTAGAGCATCTCCAATGCACTAGGCATATAATGCTTGTTAGTTAAAATGTCTAGTGTGATTCACTTTTTTCAATTCCAATGCACTAGGCATATGATTAGCCATTTTGGCTCAACTCATATTCACTAGCTACATGTAGCTAGCCTTCAACGCTAGGCAAAATGTATTAATTCATTAGGATCATTTCCCTCCATCTTTGTTGTTGACGTGGCATTCTATAAAATTAATAGTATTTGGATTAATAGCTAAAATAAAGAGCATGGTTGGAGTAAAAACATAAAACAGTTGATAGGCAAAATAAAATATATACTTTATAGTAATATTTAGATAGGTAAAATGCCTACTACTGTTGGAGATGTTCTTATAATTTGAGCTCTGCAAGATGGGAAAGCCAAAGTCCAAATCATTGGAAGATTTCCAAAAGAAAGGCATTAGAATTCAAGTAAATTTCAATGATTACTGAACAATACTATTTAAAAATTGCAGGAGATTATCGAACCTGTGAGATAATTGAAACTTAAGGAAATTATCCGCACATTTGGAAGTTGTCCTAATTCAGTTGGAATTCTTCCATGAATGCTGTTATATGCCAAGCCAAACCATTTTAAGCTTGAAGTGTTGCCGAAGGAAGGTGGAATGGTACCTGTAAGGTTATTTTCTGCTAGTAAAAGATATCTCAAAAAGGGTAACGTACTCAACTCTTTTGGTATGCTACCGCTAAAATTATTTCCTGCAAGAGATACGGCATGAAGCATCCGACACTGGTGCAAACCCATTGGGATGCCCCCTTCCAACATATTGTCCATTAACATGAGACTTGTCAAGCGATGCAAACGGCCAACTTCATCGGTCAGATGACCATGGAAGCTGTTGTTGCCTAGATCGAGCACTTGGAGGAAGGAAAGGTTACCGACACGAGAAGATATGGTGCCTTGGAGACCCATGCCGCGAAGGATCAAACCCGTGACTCTTTGACTACGACGGCTACAAGAGACCCCCGCCCAGCCACAAAAGTTGGATTCTTGTGTCCAGTTACTCAACATATTATTGGGATCAAAGTTGATTGAGGATTTGAAGGAGAGGAGAGCCAATTGATCAGTGAAGTTTGAGGAACAAATGGCCAACTCAACCATGAGTGAATGCACTAGCAGGGATCCCAAAAGGGAACCAATGTACAATTTCTCCGTAGACATGATATGTAAAGTGGAGAGGAAGAAATGAACAGCCTCTTCGCGCAGTGATGATCCTTTTATATTATTTTTGATGTATCATCCGAATTCTCATTGATTTAATTAGTCATCACTTATAGTTATTTTTAAGGAAGCAGCTTGCTGTTAGGCCCGTGAAGGTTCACCACGAATCTCTTTTAATAATCTGAACCGTTTATGTGTAAAAATCATCGTGTACTGTATACCTATTAAAAATCACATTGATCGGATATATGATAGATATGTGATCAAATCAATTTTGAATAAAAACAAAATAGATTATGAATAAATTAACGGTTGATAAAAAATCTGATTTGATCACATAGCTATTAATATTCGATCAACGTGATTTTTTACAGGTATATAGTACTCGACGAGTTCTATAAATTGACGGTTCAGATTATTAAAATGGGACCCAGTAGTGGGCCCCAACAGGCCCAACAGTACCGTCCAGTCAAATCTCGAATTGGAGGCAGGTTGCTCCCTATTTTTAATACAAAGTTCAAATACTTTTTTTTTTCCCTTCAAATCATTAGTCCATTTTTATTATCCTAAACATTTTAAGAAATTGTTTATATTAAAAAGGGTAAATTATGTAAATGGTCACTATAGTTTACAAGATGTGTCAATTTAGTCTCTATTGTTGTAATTTGTTCGATTTTACCTCTTAATTTAACGGATTATGTTATATTGATCTAATATATAATGACCATTAGGTTTGGTGGACGAAAAGTTGTCACGTGCTCAAATGATGTGTTAATTTGGTCCTTATGGTTTACATGATGTGTCAATTTGGTCCCTACTATTTTAATTTGGTTGATTTTGATAGTGATCAAATTGACATATTGTGTAAACTACAATGACCAAATTGGTACATCGTTTGAGTTTCCGTCCACCAAACCTAATGACCGTTATTTAATGGACTAATATGACACAATCTGTTAAATTAAGGGGCAAAATCGAGCAAATTAAAATAATATAGACCAAATTAACACATCGTGTAAATTACGAGGATCATTTTCATAATTTACCCTATTAAAAAAAAATTCAGCAACTTTGAAGTTTTTATTTACAAGAAGTAATTGAGATATTTTAATTTGTGATTTTAATTAATTAATTAATTTTTTTTTTTAACATAAGGGGAACATTGTAAGAAATTTATATTTTTGTGTTGAAGATTATAAATATTTGTAGCGTGTGATATGTCAATTTATGGTAAGAGTTACGAAATGACGAATTTGTGGTGTGCATCATAAAATGAAAGTTAAACGTTTTCTAGTTAACAACAATATATGTTGATAAAATTTATGTCATTTTATTTTTTAGAGTTTAGCTTTTACCAAGTTAGTAATTTCAACTTGAGAGAACGGTTGAGCTTGGTAGACCCATTTTAAGGCCGACTCTGAACCGTTCTTCTTTTAGATTTTATTGAATAGAATATTTAAACAAAAAACTAAGATGATCATAGATTAGTAACTATATTTTTTAATCAAACTTGTATTACAAAAATAAATAACTATTCTTTACATTATATTTGTCATTTAATTTTTAAAAATAAAATGTTTGATTTCGATTCAATTATGTTTCTCCAATTAAAAAAATGAAACCTTACTATTTATTTATGTTTACTAAATTGATTCTAAAATAGTAAATAAAGAAAAAAAAAGTTAGATTATCTCAAATGAAATATTACATAGTTAATACATTATATGTGTTACTTCCTCAGAAAAATAAATAAATAAATGGGTAGAGTGGTTGGTGAAGTGTGGCCAGGACCGGCAGGCTAGGCATTAGAAAAGAAATAAAGTGGACTTGACTCCCAAGTCTTCAAATAAATTAACAGCCTCCAAACAACACATCAATATCAACAACAATACACACACACATATATATATATATATATATATTTGATAGGGGATTGGCTTCTCTTCTGTCTGTAATCAAACTGGAGGGTACTGTTAGATCTGTAGGGACCTATTACGAGTTTCGTTTTGATCATTTGAATCGTTCAATATGTAAAACTTGTCGAGTATTATATACCTGTAAAAAATCACGTTGTTTAGATATTAATAACTATTTCATCGGATCAGAGTTCTATCAACCGTCTATTTTTTTTTTTATACAAAACTGATTTGATCACGCAATTATTGATATCCGATCAATGTGATATTTTACAAGAATATAGTACTCGACGAGTTTTACACATTGAACGATTCAAATTATCAAAATGAAACATATGGTGAGCCCCAAGAATTCAACAGGGAAGCCAAGCCCTTTAATAGAACCATTGATGAAAATGACAAATGGCACCTACTGGATACAGATTAGAGTCGGAATTAGGATGAAAGGGCCAAATGACAAATGACAAAAAAAAAAAAAAAAATGTCTAAGTCGAACTATGTAAATCTTGATATCTTGTGATTGTTTTTTTTTCGTAAATTTACATAATTTGTATGGTTTTTCTACTCCATATTTAAAGCTATTAACTATCTTAGTGTGGTTGAGTTTTCTTGGGACACTCCACACAACAAATATGATAAGGTGTTATAACCAAACACTGTTGAAGTATAACAATTAATTTGTTACAATTTCAATAATGTAATTTTCAACCTCTTGTTAAAGTTATAAATTTGGGTTAATTGAATCCAAGCAACTCGAGTTAAGTTTGTAATTTTTTAAAGTTCAGTGGTGCTACATGTGCCAATTAATGTACACACTACTGTACCAATTAGTGTTATGCCATTATTACTGACCCCACCTATTATACAAATTACAAATATCAAAAACCCTAAAATTATTCCACATTATCTATTAATATGCTAGTTGGTGCATTAATTGGTATGTATAACATTTTTTTTTAAAGATTGTGCAACATAATTTTTAATTCGGTGATAACCTATATAATATTCAAAAATTCGAATAAATTTTAATGGACTTGGACAGAGACAACAAATAACCTGAGCAATCGAAGCAAAATTGTATATTTAAATATATAAAATTATTTGCTAATTTATTTTTTTAACAATAAATAAGATTAATTAAAAATTTAATATTAATGAGCAAAAGCAAATACACATTTTAGAAAGGAATCATCGAATACGTTGATATTAAAAAATATATATTTTATAATGGCATAAAATAATTTAAATATGATTTTTCAAAAATTATTTTTAATTTAAAGTATAAAATAAAATATTTAAATGTAATAAAATTAAATTTCTACAAAATAAAAGTATTTGTATAAAAAAAAGAAAAAGAAAAAGAAAAAGAGTAAGAAAAAAAATTAGAATGGTATTCTTAACTGATTTGAAAATAATTATAGATGGACAATAAATTATCACTTATAATACTTATTTTTTTTAAATAAAAAATAAAATTTCGCAAACCATCACTTTTACTAGGAAAATAACATTTATCTCTATTTGTTTCAGCAAAACTCACTTTTTAGCAATTTGAGCCAATATTTTTTCATTTTTTATTTTAGCTTGTTTAATTGACAACTAAGATTAAAAATACAATCAACATGATCCATCATGTTTCTCAAGTGCTAAAAAAGTTTAGATGAACAATAAGAAAAATTTTTGAGACCCACAAAAAAAGCACCCACAATTGAATCCATAATGATGTGGTATCATATGTGTCAACTCTTGATTTGTTGTACACTCAATGACATAGGGCCCAACCCTCTTGTCACATCATTGTGGGTGAAAGTCTGGTCTATAGCATTGATGGAACAATAAATTATCACATATAACTCTCATTTTCTTTTTTTATTATAAAAAAAAAGTTTCACCAACTATTATTTTTAATAGAAAAAAAAAATATTTATTTATATTTGATTTTAGCAAAAGTCACTTCTTCACTATTTAAGCCAAAAACACTTAGCTTGCGTTTGGTTGTGTTTTGTAAATGTGATTTGAGAGTATGAGTTGTATTTTGAGTTTGTGAGTTGTAGAATTATTATTTGAATGTAAAAAATTTGTTTAGTTATGGTTTTTAAATAGAGTATTGAATTGTGTTTTGAAGATGTATTTTGAATTAAGTTTTGAAAGTCCGATGTGACATGTGAAAGGTGAAAATTTGTTTGGTGATGTGTTTTGAAAATAATTTTCAAAACTTAATTCAACTAATAATTTATTACCAAACACACAACTCAAATATCGATATCCATATTTTTGATCAACAATAATAACCAAACTATTTTTAAAATACTGAAATTAAAAATTGATTTTTTTTTAGTAATTTTTTTGAATAATTGTTGTTTCGAAATAATTTTTTCATTTAAAAATAAACTGATGTCAATTTTTTTTTTGCCAATTAATTTTTCTATCGATATCCATATTTTTTATCAACAATAATAACCAAACTATTTTTAAATCACTGACATTAAAAATACCATTTTTTTGTCAATTAACTTTTTTTCAAATCTTTTTTTTGAATAATTTTTTTTTCAAATAATTTTGTCATTTTAAAATAAACCTATGTCAATTATTTTGTGTCAATTAATTTTTCTATCAATTTATTTTTTACGCCTGTACAAACATCTTATAAAATACGTTTTTAATTTTTTTCTAAAATAATTGATAGAAAATTTGAATAAAATCTCACATTTCTGAACCTTTTGAACCTCACTTTTCTATAAAATAATTGATGCCAGTTCATCTTCAAAGAGGAGGACAACCGGCCGGTCATCCCCAAGGTCTACCGTTCGGTCATCCCCAAGGTTTGATACACAGATGAGGTTCACGTAAAACAGAGACGATGGAAGAGAAGGACATGGAAGCTTTTCAGAAACGTTGAAAGTGGAGATACAAGCTGCCAAACGGATTTTCAAAATCTGATTTGAATTAACACCCTAAATCAACTTTTGAACATCCTATCCAAACGTGAAGCGGGAGTTCACGTGTAGAATCACATTTTGAATTCACAACCAAATACAACCTTATTTTTTTTATTTTAATTTTGTTTAATTGACAATTAAGATAAATAA